TCTAGTTTAATGAAAAGAAGGGCTAGCATGATCCAATATTTAAGGGGCTGCCACAAAAAAGAAAATCTATTCTCCAAAACACCTGAAGGCAAGACAAGAAGAAATGGATGGAAACTAATCAAGGAGAGAAGCAACTTAGAACTAAGGAAAAATTTCCTGACAGAACAATTAATCAGTGGAATGCCTTGCCTCCAGAAGTTACAGGTGCTTTGACTCTCCAATACCATAGTATATGGTTTCCTGCTTGATCAGGGAGTTGGACTAGAAAACCTCCAAGATATCTTCTGTTGTTATTCTATTATTCTGAATATTCGTTGAAAGAAAGAAAAAATTGTTGTGTATAGAAACCCACACTGCCCACATTACTACATGGAGGTAAGAGTTGGGTATGTCCAGAGAAACATAAAAGGAGTCTGGGTGAAGTAGGAATTGTCTGCTTGTTGCATCTGAAACAAGAAAAAATTGGGTAAGGCTGAATGTGGGCCAAATGAATATGAATTAAATACAAAATTAAAAAGTGTGTTGAGGTGGTTTAGACATATTGAGAGAATGAATGACAATCAAACTGCACAACCACATGCTAATTAATTTACTAAAATTAAAGTCGTAATTTCAAATGGCTTAAATATTTCGAAATAAAATGATAGCTAAAGCAATAGACTAAACGTATGTGCGATGTATTAAAATATGGGCTATCAGTATTAACGTATGTCAGGGATATGTTAGATTTAAGTGGCCCTCCATTGATATGCATTACCTCTGGATGAGTTTTATAAGAACTTTATTTCTATAAAATAAGGATGACAATTACTGGCATAATTATGAGCAAACTTATACTTGAGATTTAAAAAAAAAATCTGCTTTGAGAGCTGTATGAATAGGAGAAAATTTTATAGGACTCTCATGTTCGGTGAATACTGAAAGCACCTGAAATAAAATTGCTAAAATGGAACAAGCACCCCCCCCCCAATCTTTGAATATTTAATATTAAGGGGTCTAAAATCAGATAACTCCACTTAGAGAAACTGTATTTTCTAAGCTTTGACAAACACACTCAGAACCAAAAAAAAAAAACAAAAACCTAAGCCAGTATGTCAAATTGCTGCATCTACAGATGTGTGTGAAATATTTAAACCAAGAACGACTCCCATAATTACCATTGTTTTAATCCTCATCCTTCTTTTAAATAATAAAGCATACCCAATAGGGTTTAGGATATAAAACAGTCCTTAAAATGATCATGCCCGAGTACAAAAGAGCTTTTCCTGATCAAAGGCATCTCTCTGTGGCCTGTGTAAAATTATCTTTCAACATGTTCGCTCTGGGAATTCTACAGTTTCTCGCTCACTGATCTCATCTTGTAGACATTTCTGTTACTTTCAGGTAAAACCCTCTCATCTGCCATGCAGTTGCAACTCTCTTTTAAATCTCTTTGAGGTGGCAAATGTAGCATTTCATAATCACAAAAAGTCCATGTTTCAGAGCAGACAACTTATCTGAGAAAACAACACTTTCATTAGGGCCTCGTACATAAACAGAATATTTTTATCTGATGCAGAGCATTAGTTGTTCCTTCTGACTAGATCTACAGGTTTCAGACTTCCTTCCACTGAAGGACAAGATTACTTTCTGTTACATACCTAGTATGGGGACAGGAGTCTGAGCTGAGGAGGAATACTTTGGAAAAGAAGGAACTGAGGATAGTATTTTGCTTTTTTAAGCTCCACAAACTACTGGCATTTATTCATTTATAAAATTTATTAGCCAACCACCCAGTAAATCTGGGAAGCTTACATGGACATTGTGGTAGAATCACTAGCTCAAGAAGAGGGGAGTACAGAGACAATCCAACTTGGAATTGGTTTAGGGAGAAGAAATACCTGAAATCAAACTCCTGATCTATATCTCCCATTTCCAAAGGGAAGGCAGACAGTCTGGTGAAGTTCTTATAGTATAGGTGATCAACAATAAATATCTATTTGAGCCTATTCAGGTGTGGTTCAGGTTGTGTGCACCTGACAGATGTTAAGGACAAGAGGAAATTATTTCATGCACTTCTCCTTCATCACTACTTCATTTCAATATACTGCAGTTCAACTCCCATCATTCTTAGCCAACATTTGTCACAATGAATGGGGATAATGTAGTAATACAGACAGTTCTGGAGGCTCCTCAGGTGGTACATGCAACACAACTATTAGATAGACTGCATCGATTGCCAGTTTACTTACAGATCCAATTTAAGGTGTTGGTTATCATCATTAAAGTCCTTCATGACATGTCACCAGGTTATCTAGTGAATGGTCTTGCCTCAATCGGACTGGCCTACGCCACTCACACCAGCAAAAGAGGCCTTCTACATTCTCTACTGGCCAAGGAATTTCAGCTAGCAGAGTCTAAAGGAAAAGCCTTCTCTGCCAAGGTCCTGCCCTCTGGGACATCTTGTTGCCATAAGTAAGACCCTCCTCCATCCTTCCATCCTTCTGGAAGGTCCTTAAAAGCTGTTAGTGCTTTTATATTTATGCTTTTATGCAGTGGTGGGATTCAAATTTTTTTACTACCAGTTCTGTGGGCATAGCTTGGTGGGAGTGGCAGGGGAAGGATATTGTAAAATCTCCAGTCAGAGGTGGTATTTGTCAGTTCTCCAAACTACTCAAAATTTCCGCTACCAGTTCTCCAGAACTGGTCAGTACCTGCTGAACACCACCTCTGCTTTTATGGAATTATAAGACCTTCCAAAATCACTTTGAAAAGTGAGATGAGAGGCATATAAATTTAATAAATGATAGCATGCACCAGCTTTTAAATTTTTGCAGCAGACTTTCTGCAGGTGGGCTCAAGAGAGTTTTGCAGGTGTCAATGAATAGAGATTCAGCAAAGTGATTAATTATTTTAACATAAGCAAACAAGTAGAGAAAGTCAGTTGTAATTAACAAAGAAAATCTTAAACTCTAGTAATACAAAGTGTAGACTGCATAAGAAAGATCACTGGTTTTAATGCAGATGGAACTTTATTGCAATAACACATTTGTAGGAACCTACAAAGACTCAACATTTCCAAAAGAGTGAAATAAAACAAAATACAGGGATACAAAATACAGAGATGCACTGCCTAGAATACAGGGATACATACTGGTCATTTTAAATCAAGCAGTTCTGATGGAACCAACAAATAACAATTGTTTTCAGCAACTACAAAACTCCAGCATTTTAGATTTTAAATTAAATTTCGAACAAGTGTTGTATAAAACCTGTCTACTTGTTACATGCTTCAACAATTCTAATCAGGATGCAGTGACTTCATATTTCATAATGCTATGAAATTCTCCTCCATGCTTAAAAGAAAGTCCTCTATTATACAGAAGAAAGCATTATTTTCTTGGCAAAAAATGATTTTCAGGCTATAGTGTTCTCTGTTAAAATAAGCCAAAACAGGATGTGATAAACCTTAAAAGTTGCTAAAGGTACAGTGAAAAGGTCAATCCTGAAAGCATCATTCAGCACAGTGGGCTTCACAGAAGACCATGGTTACATGGAAAGATTATATTTACACTGCCTGAAGTCAAATCTAATAGTGTGAGTTAAGAAGGGCGGTTCAGAATTTCTTTGCTTTTTTTGGCTCAAACCAGCTCTTTGAAATGGCTGTAGCTACATTACTTGTGTGTGACTGCACACACATTTCTGCAAGCTTCAACACTGTCTCTCATGTTAAACAACTCACAAATATTTCCTAATAATAAAAGACAAGGAATATTTCAGGGGCATATACGAGTCCTAGAATGATATATCACAGTTACAACTCATTGCTTTCTTTGGCTCAGATTCAGTTGTTTGAAACCGAGGCATCTCAGCTAGTTCACTGACAAGTGCAAGGAAAAGGGTGTGATCTTGGCCAAAGAAAAGGATTAGTAATATTTTTACATCATATATTTATCTTAACCCAACTCATTTATCAGGCATGATTAAAGCTGCTATCTGCACTTGCAAATAATTAAAGACTTTCTTTTAACAGCCAGAATTATTACTACGGAAAGCGATCCCTGTAAAAGAGAATGATAGTGACCAAGCGTTATCCAACTGTGAGGGCACACACTTTGCAAACCCGACAGGCTGCCAGAAGTGGAACATACTGTAGACAAGGTCAGACTTAATGTAGAAGCTAGCCGCCCAGAGACTAAAAGTCCCTATAGGCAAATTCACACTGTTACATGAAGAAAACAACAGTTTCTGATTGCTGAAAGCAAATCCTACATATCCACTGGAACATTTGTTTGGACTCACTGAGCTTTTTCATACATTTTCCATTTTATCATTTTTACATCTACAATATGCTAGCATAAAAATAACATACATATAACTAACTTTTTACAGATGAGGTGTGCTCAAACGCAAATGGAAACAGAAGTGTCATAATAAGACAATCTCTCCCTTTCCCATAAATATAAGTCACATTTCAAACCACGAAATCTAACATATGAAAAACGAATTGACATCAATTAAAAGCAAGGTGATATATCCAAGGACTGTGCCAAAATATGGTAGAAGTGCTCTTCACTCCATAAAACATTTTTTTCCTCCCCTTTCCCCTTTAAACATTGCAGCTTCCCCCTCCCTTCAAATCTTCTCCAGAGAACCCCTAGTTTTATCTGATGGGTGAATACAAGAGGATTTAACACTGTTTAAAAGGAGGTATGAAGGATAATGGAAATGAGAATTTTGTATTTTTGATTTTAAAGAATAAAAATGTTTAAAAAATAAAAATAAAATAAAAGCAGGTATGAAGGAAATCAGGCTACAAGCCACATATTTGCAGATACTTATTCTAGGCAAAATATTTGCAAACTTTAACATGGACATTGGTTTATTTCATGGGATAATTAGCATTCCTGGAGATGTTTTAGAATGTAGTGGTAGTAAAAGGAACATTATTTCAGTTCAAAATAAAAAGCACAAGCAATTACAAACATTCAAGGGTAATAGAAACATTAATTTCTTCTTACTTTGTATTCTGGAATTCACAAAAGGAGGAGATAGATTGTCATGTGATCCAAGGTCCCTGTTTGTCATATGTTCATAAGAAGGTCCATCTCCATAGTTCTGTAAATAAATTGGTAGCAGTTTAAATGGAATATACACATGCAAATGTCTTAGCTATTTCTCAGTTATTATAACTAGAAAGGCACTTTTTCAATGGACTGATGAAATTTGAAGATAATTATTCTAATATATTAAAATATGTGCTCATATTTATGTTAATAACTCAGATATTAGCCAGCAAAAATGACATTTTCTATCCTGTCCAAAATGAAAATGTATGTCTTTGCAGTTATGGTCTCAAATAATGAGAAACATGGGAAGTTAAAATTAAATATTTTATTTAAGGAATCATTTTTATTTCCAATACAGGATGCTAAGATACTCTAGACTGAAATTAATTTTTTTGTGCTGAGTCTTTCACTGGTTTTTTTTTTCATTGTTTTGATGTACTAATTTGCCCATGCAATCTGATTTGTTTTAAATTCATTCTACTTTCGTTCAGATCAATTTCACTTAAAAATTTATGTACTGCAGTTTATACTGTACCACAATAAGAAGCAATGAATTTATGCTTTACTGAAAACAAAGCAATATTGCATTTCCTATTTTACTCTAAACTGGCTCGGCATTTTTTCCTGAATGGAATTTGCTGGTGTTCTTCAGAACCTCATAATCCACAGGCAGCTCTCCATACCTATTTTACCACAATTCCAAAAATTTAAAAATATTTCAGAAATAGGTAAAGGTGCTCCATAGGTAATGGTGCTCCATAAAAACGCTATTTTCCTTTTGACTTGAAAACATTGCATAGTTTAACTGTATGGCTGTTGGGTGTCTTGAATCTCATGAAGACAAGAAACTTGAAGTCAAATAAAGGGAACGCTTCAAATACTTCTATTCATCAGCCGAAACAAGTTTTATTTTAATTTTAGTGCCTTGTGTAATAGTAATGGGATTAATCATAAAAATATACCTGCTCAAAAATTGCCCATGTTTTCTTTTTTCTTTTTCCATTTTTTTAATTTTTAATACAATAATTCCATCTTCAGTTGAACAGTGTGTTGTCTGGGTACAAGTATCTTTGTTGAACAGTAATCAAAATTTACAAAATTTACATTACATTGATATTAATTCTACAATACTGAAATAGTAATATTCCACATTTTATTCTACAATATTAAAATAATAATATTCAACATAGTAATCCTAATATTTGTGTATCTTTTTAACATATTTTCTTTATTTTGTTTCCCTGTTTCTAACTTCCATTTTTGTTGTTTAACCATTGCTTAAATAAATGTCATATAATATTCAGTTTGCTCTTTCTCCTTAATTGCAAGCGTTAATCTGTTCATTTCTGCACATTCTAATATTTTCCTAATCACATTCTCAACTGTAGGTATCTCTTCACTCTTCCAGCTTTGTGCAAATACAATTCTAGCAGCAGTTAATATATGGATAACTAAATATGCATTTTCCTTACTATTTTGGGGGGTAGAATCCCCAATAGAAATATTTCTGGCTTATATGCTGTTTTATCATTTTTTTCAACCACGTATGTATTTTGTCCAGTATTGTTTTGCTTTTGGGCAAGTCCACCACATGTGATAATATGACCCAGGTATCTGGTGGCACTTCTAACATTTAGCTGACTTATCTTTAAACATCTTTGCCAACCACGCTGGTGCAAAATGCCATCTATAAATTGGCCATGTTTTCTATGTCAGTTTGTGGTTGTCTAATAGTCATTTGGATTTTTCCAGCCTAGAACTGATAGGTCTATATAAACAGACAGATGAAGATGGTAGTACTTTAGGTTACAGCTGCAGTTCTAATTTCTGCCAACTGTCAAAAGAACTTTGATATTAATATGTTCCACTTCCTGAGTCTATTGAATAGTCTGAGTGGGAATGAAAATGTGATCTCTGTAACATGAGAAGAGATAAGTTTCAGTTCATTGGCATATAATGCATTTGAATGTCAAGCTGTTGAAGGCCTGGCTTGCTGTTGGTACACTAGAAGGTACCCTTATGCATATTTACACATCATTATTAGAAGAAGACTGTCAAAGGACATTCCAGCCCTTTAAATGTGGTCAATTTTCAAGATTCAGAGATCATTTCTTGGCAAAACATAACCTTTTGTGATCCACAAAATATAGAAAAAGTCTTTCTGTGAAAGAAAATGCAACACCTTACATTAAAGTTAGGGCAGTGCAATCAGTTATCTACAGTTAAGTGCTAAATTAAGACAGAGTGAGGAAGTTGAGACTATCCTTAAAAGAATGGCAAAAATTCAGGTGTTTTAGAGTTAGTAATCTGCATACATATGCCAAAATGTAACACTATTGCCTCCATGAAAAAGTCTATTTCCATAACAATAGTAGTTTTTCAGGATAGCCTAAATAACTACTGGAAGTTTCCTGCAAAGGTTTGTTCTTAAATGAATGGCATATCAATATGCACTTACCTTTACAAACAGGTAAGTGCATACAGATATGTTAAGTCTGCTTATAGCACAGTTGGGCAAATATGGATCCTTTACGAGCTGTGGACTTCAACTCCCAGAATTCCTGAGCTATGAATTCTGGGAATTGAAGTCCACAGGTCATAAAGAGGCCATAGTTGCTCGCTGTGGTTTATAAACAACAAAGTTTAGTCAAGTAAACTTTTATCCATAGAGACATACCTAACTAAATAACTGTTAACTAAATTTAATGACAGATTTTAATTATGCATTGAACTTATTGCTGTGTTTTCTATTTTACCTTCTATCTATGGGTGCTTTACATAGCAGAAAGGTAAAAGTTTAAATTTAATAAATAAACACAGAAAATGCCCTGTGCGTTTGTGCTATGCACAAGGAAATACAAATAGTCAAGTTGGGTCACATCAACCATAAAACTTGGCGTAAAATTGTGATTAAAATTATTCCAGAAGATAAAGAATTTGCAAATTTGTGCAATACATCTATAACTTACTATCTTATAACTTTAATGTTGTGTAAGCAGCCCAGAATCATCTGTGACGAGGGCAAATAAAATGAATAATGATAACAACTTTTAGTAAAGCTTTTCAGATGCTTAGTTACGTTGGAATAAACTTAAAAAATGGAATGAATAGTTAGTATTCATACTAGATGTTCTGAACTTTGGACCTATAATAATACTTAGACTTACATACTGCTTCACAGTGCTTTTCAGCCCTCTCTAACTGGTTTTCAGAGTCAGCCTATTGCCCCCAACAATCTGGATCCTCATTTTACCCTCCTCAGAAGGATGGAAGGCTGAGTCAACCTCGAGTCTGGTGAGATTCAAACTGCCAAACTGCAGGCAGCCAGCAGTCAGCAGAAGTAGCCTGCAGTACTGTATTCAAACCACTGCGCCACCTCAGCTTTTATAAGAACTAATTCATACTGTACATACCTCTGAAGTACTGATTTCTTGTTATTATATGTTATACTTTTATTTTTCTGTTTAATAACTAATTTGAACACACATACACACACACACACACACACATTTTTCTAAAAAGTTAACATGGAGAGTTAAAACTCCTAGCATCCCAAAAGTCCCATCTTCATATTTAATATTTTGTCCTGGAATTAAATATCTGGGAAGACCCCTACAACAAATGAGAAATCAACAGCCAAATAAAAGGGGAGGCGAGGAATCCAGGCAGCTTACAAAGAGAGATAAGGAATGATAGCGACACATAAGACAAAACATTTAATGAGGCTTCTTACTACTTCCAATCAGAAACACAGCAAATGTCAAATTCAACTTTGAGATCAGATTTTTTTTTTAATGCAATCCTGGGAAGAGGTTGCTCTACAGCCAAACTTGCAAGTACATTTTCCTATGCAATCAGGTGCACAATTCCCATTTAGATTTTAAATTTGCATACAGAGGAAGGCTGGTGAGGAATAAAAAAAGATTAGATGTACTTACCCTGGATGGGCTAGGATGTCCTCCATTCCCCCAGGACCCTGAGCTAGTTCTGTCTTCTACATCTAGGGACAAAAAAGTTCTTTAGGCTTTATTGCAATAATTCTTTCCTTTTGTATAGGCACTTTTAAATTAATGTTTCAAATTAATCTCCTGTTGCCTTTAATTAAGAATCAGGCACAGGGCTACTACAATGATAGTGGCTTCTGACCCAACCACTTAAATTAACTCATTTAAATTCACAGCAGAAATGAACTGGACCCTCAGGAACCCAAGGTTTGCACATAAAAAATTATTCCAGTCTTTCAGAAGTGGCTGGAAGTCACTGACTCAACTTGAATTGAAACCTAGCGTAGAAATGCATAGCCTCAACAATGACACCAATGATAGTGCAAAACAAATAAAGAGGCAAAGTGTTTTTAGATAAACATTTTGCTTCCCACTTTTCTATAGAATATTCCTTCTTAAAAGCAGATTTCAGAGACTGGTTTGGGAAGCACCTCTTTCGTATTTTGAATCTGTAATGGATTTAAACCTGCTATTTAAAAGGGAACTTCGTTCCTCTTCAAATGGAAGACAATCAATTATTCAATATGGCCTCATTCTAATTTGCAATAAAGATGCTTATTTAGCTATGCCATGCTGTACATCAGGAAAAGAAAGTTCTGAGTTAAAAACCATAAGCCAAGATGTGCCAGGCCACAGGATGGAGATCTCAACTGAGTTTTGCTCTGAAGGTCTGAGGAAAACTTGTCATGAGCTGTTGGAGAGAAAGTGGGATATAAATCTAACAGATAAATAAGCCTAAGAGATAAAGGAGAGGAAATAAAAGCAAGAGGGAAAAGCCCAGCACTGAATCTCTGTCCCACAGTGGGATGTGGGAAATGTGGAGTACAGAAGACCCACTCCCCGGCAGCACTCTGGCGGGGGGCCCAAATCCTTCTGATTGAGGCACAGCCCGTAGATGGTGTGAGGCTGGTGGTGGCCCCCAGCACGCCAGGACTGGGTCTTCTTGGAGTTGGGTTAGCATATGCCTTAATATGGTTATTACTTGAATCAAGCCTTATACAGATAGTCCTCAACTTACAACCACAATTGAGCCCAAAATTTATGTTGTTAAATGAGGTACCTGTTAAATGAGTTTTGCCCCATTTTACAACTTTCCTTGTCACATTTGTTAAGTGACTCCTTACAGTTGTTAAATTAGTAACATGGTTGTTGAGTGAATCTGGTTTCACCGTTGACTTTGCTTGCCAGATGCTTGCAAAAGGTGATCACATGACCCCCCACAGGACACTGCAACCATTAAAATTTGAATCAATTGTCAAGCATCTGAATGTAGATCATGTGGCCATGGGAATGCTGCAACAGTCATAAGTATGAAAAATGGTCATAAATCACTTTTTTCAATGCAACTTTGAATGGTCACCAAATGAACTGTTGTAAGTCGAGGACTACCTGTAGTTTATTTTTCCTACAAATAATTGTGTTCTTATATTCATATGCCGTCTTTCCTTTGAGTGCTCAGAGCAAGGTCCTGAAAATTAAGTTAGCCTGAGAGGCAAGGACTAGTCCAAACTCAGCTAATGAATTTTCATGGAGACCTCACTTTGGTCTTTTAAATCCACCAAATTGTTTTATGTAGACAAAGTAAAGGTTTCACTAACTTCTCTCCAAACTTAAATAATAGGCATTATGCTGGCCAATGGGCTTCAGTGTAAAGAAACATAAAATAATGCATACTGGAAACAATTCTGCATGGAGCCTTGATGGGATTAGAGTCAATGGGACTGATCAAGGAAAGGGTCATAGAGTGTTCAGAAAATGAGAAGAAAAAGAATTTAAGGATTAAGGATCATTACGTGAAAAAAGTGCTAATATTTTAAATTTATTTATTAATAAAGGTAAAAGTAAAGGTTTTCCTGTCCAGTTATGTCCAACTCTAGAGGGCTCTGCACATTCCATTTCTTAGCCGAGGGAGCCAACATTGTCCGAAGACATTTCTTTAGTCACGTGACCAGCATGACTATATACTGAGGCAAATTGACTGCTGTTATCCTCCCACCAAGAGAGGTACCTATTTATCTACTCACATTTGTATGCTTTCAAACTGCTAGGTGGGCAGGAGCTGGGGCAAGTAATGGAAGCTACCCCCCATCATATGGGGTTTGAACCCAGCCTGCCTATTTTCCAGCTGACAAGTTCAGTGTTTTTAACCACCGAGCCCTCATGTCCCCATTATTTGATTATATCCCACCCCTGTCTTTTTTTATAAATGACTCAAAGTAGCAAACATACTTAACATTCCTCCCTCCCTCTTCCTATTTTCCCCACCACAACAATCCTGTGAGGTGAATTGGGTTGAGAGTGTGTAACTGGCCAAGATCACTCAGCTGGTTTTCATGCCTGAGGTGGGCCAGAATTCACAATCTCCCAGTTTCTAACCTGATGCCTTTACCACTAGACCAAACTGGTTCTTACATATAGATATAGATACAAACAACTTTAAATAACATATTAAATTTTATATAACATACTATATAACAGCAGCTATATATAATATGGTATATTGACATATCTCTAAGGTAATAATTTTAGTGATGTGGTAATAGATAAAGATGCAGAAAAATGCAACCAAAATGATGAATTAACAACCAATATATTAGCTTTGAATTTCAGTCAGCATAGCCCTAATATATCTGAAAAGGACCATCTTAAAAAAAAGATTGCTGAAACTGGTGAATATTAAAAAACCATCTTAGAGCTTTGGGGAAGTTATGGTTGAAAACTCTGAAAATTCAATAATAACAGTAACAATAATTAATATTCAGTGCCTATGGATACTGCTGAGATGTATGAATTAAAATGTACCCTGTGGGGTTTCTATTAATCTCTTTCCTGACCCAAGATATTAATCCTGTTAGTTCTGCAGATACTGGATGGACTTATTACTTCCTATAGAGAAGTGTTTGTGTGTCCAGAATTTTGGAGAATCATGAACCAAGCCCATAAAAATCCTACATTTGTACTTTTCTTTGTTCCACATTTTCAAATAATTTGCAAAAATCTGGTACAGTTCTTTATGAATCTTCATTTAATCAACTCTTTTCAGAACAGAAAAATGAAGAGAGGGAAGAAATACTTTCACGTGAGAAACTTTAAAAAGGGCAGATTGTGTTATTTTCTAGTTTTACTGAGATAGGCTTAAGAAGGAAACAGAGTAGTTGCTTTAAATGCAACTTAAGATCGTTCATAGGTAGTTAGGCAGTGCCTTGTGTTCATGGGGATACACAATGGCAGTTGCATCAAGGCTCAAAGGAGAAAATAAAAGTCCCTCAGCTCTAATGTCTAAGGTAGCATCCAATATATATTTGTAGTACATTAAACACTACAGAAATAGCTTGCCTGACTACTCATTAAAATATATATTTAAATTCTCCAATGATTGACCAGTTAAGAAGCAATCTAGCAAAGCAAGAATAACTTTAAAGCTAGTAAGTCCTAGTGAATTTTTCCCCACTGTATTAAGTTTGGAAGAATACAGAGAACTTCATATACTTTGTTCTGAAATGCTCTTGTTCCTAAGATTCATAAATGTGTTTATGATATACTTTTTAGAAATCTACTCAAAATCTCTCTCTTCAACTAGTTGTTCTCTGCATAAATGTTGTACATGTGATTTTGGTTTATTTCTTCTTTCACTTTTTAAAGTGAATGGGTCATTTTATACTATAGGTGGTCCTCATTTAAATAACTACTCATTCAATGACCTTTCAAACCTATGATAATGCTGAACATTATGTGCATGACTGTTACTCTGTTCCTGTGGTCACGTGATCACAATTTACAACCTTCCCTTCCCACCAGCAAAGTCAATGGGGAAGCCTTCAGGAAGCTGCAGTTGCATGATGACCTCTCTGATTTGAATTTAACATTGGCAACTGGGACTGCCAGAGTGGTTGTTGCTAAATGGCATGACTTACGACTCTGTTGCTTAGCAAAGGCATTTCCAGTCCCAATTAGCATTATTATACGAGAACTACCTGTATTTTATGCCGTGGTAGCGCAGTGATTAGAATACAGTATTGCAGGATGACTCTGCCCAACGCCAGGATTGTAATACTCTTTACTAAAGAGTAGATTAGCTGCCATGAGCAAGAGAAAAATTGAACAAATCTAACTTATCACATAAGTAATAGAGAGACTTATGTCTGTTTTTTAGATGTGTGATGATGTACAAAGATAACCATAGGAGCTTGGCAAAGGTAGCATAATTTGGGGAGACAGTTTTTAAATCACTTTAAGGCTAGTAAATAGCTACACCCTCTGCAAAATACTGAGAATTGTGAGCATCATGGCGTAATAGTTAGAATGCAGCCTGTTCCCAGTAGTTCGATCCTGACAGCTTCAAAGTTGACTCAGCCTTCCATCTTTCTGAGGTCGGTAAAATGAGGACCCAGATTGTTGGGGGCAATAGGCTGACTAGGTAAACTGTTTAGGGAATGCTGTAAAGCAGCATATAAGTCTAAGTGCTATTGGTTGAATCTATTGTTTTTATCCGTCAACTCTTCAGACTGACTAATAGTGCAAACTGATATTCATTCAGTGAATAGAGTGAAGTACTCTGATGGATTATAGCACATAACCAGTAAACTATATTACACAGCTAAGGTCAAAAATATGGCCTGAATTGAGAAAATGCCAGAAATCTCTGGTTTATACATTGTCTTTAAATTAAATTGACAATTCTGTATTAATTTATACTGTCATATTTTAATGGGACTTGCAACTCAGCTTTTAAAGTGGTCGTTAGCTGAAACCCTGATTTGTGCTTCTGATCTTATTGTAGCTTTCTTTTGCTTTATAGACCTGTGAAGGTTTTACAGTTACTTTTTTTAATCACTCTTGTATCTGTGAATGGCCACTGAAATAAGACAGTCGCTAAGTGAAGGGACTTGAAATGGGTTGTGAGAAAAGGAAAGATCAAGACAGCTGTGGTTAAAGTTAATGAGACCCTTGAAGTGCATAAGTGAGAATTTTAAAGAACAAATGCAGTTTGC